TTGGTGGTTTGAGAGTGCACCCAATTTTTGGCAAACTGTGTGGGCTTTACGACTTGTGTATGGTGGGTGGTGAGTCAGGTAGTGGTGGCGTTGATAACAAAGAGGAGACGGCATTTAATGTGAAAGTTTGGAGAGATTGAATTCATGATTATGTCTTCGTCCACTTGGTCCATTCTGACTCGGCTAGTGGCGTGGAATTCAATAGCATTTGCATTGGCTATTTCCCTGGTTAAGGTGAGTTAGTTCACTTTAAGAGAATTGGCGATGCGATTTTGCAGACGAGCAGATTAAATGGAGGATGTTGGTGACAACTGCCATTTCAGGTTTTCGGCGATCTCTGGTATTTGAAATGAAACTTGATTCTGTAATCGGTGGTGATATATTTATTTGTATTTGATAGGCAAATTTACTGCTTTCTTAGTAATAATTATAGGAAAAGCAATAGTATTCGTATAATGCTGCTTTGGGGAGAAAGTTGATTGGTGGATTTAGTGTATTACTTGCCGACGATTGGTCACTTTGGAGTACAATCTGTCCAATGAAACTGCTGGTTATTTTAATGTGAATTGTGATGTCTTTAGTAGTAATTGTTAAATGATAACTTGACCTTTTGACCATACACTCAATGCATATTGGTCACATTATGCATCCTTCAATGCAAAACACGGGAGGTTCTTCGTGGAAGACCTTCATATAAGGAACCCGTATTTGCTAGCTTTCTTGCTCAGCCACTTAGGCCTTTGATTAGTCATCGATCTGCTGAAATAATTTTGGTTTTTAACATCCCTGCTCGTTTTTCTCAACCACAATGTCTTTTAATCCGAATGCTGTTTTATCCACGCACTGAAGTTGATTGGGAAAAGAAAAGCAGCATCTCCCACGCCACTGTTGTCGAGTTTGATCTCCACAATCTCCTCGTCACAAATTCAAAGATATAATTTTCAAAATGAAATTTGTAAAACTACCTTTCAACCTTATTCGACTAGATTTAATTTTCCTCACTTTTCACCCTTTTTCAAAAAATTCTCCTCTCATAACCGCTTTCTGGTACACCACAGCTTTAGCCGCATTCCTCAACCCAATGTCCGTAAAATGGCTCTACAGATTGAAGTAGTCGTTCATCAGTGCTGACCACGAAGGCACAGAACCTTCAATGTTTATCCAAATATGAAATTAGCATTGTAAGGAGAGTTTATATCCCAACTAGACTTTGTGTTGAAGTAAAGGAATGAAGAGAATGCAAATGCCAATTACGCAGTACATGCTCTGTGACATTTTGATCCTCCCATTGAAAATGGCGCTTCCATAGTGGCTTGGCATGTGTCCAAGGTGTTACAACCAAGGCATGGCGTTAACGCTACCTCCTGACGCCTAAACAAAACGGGTGTATCAGTACATGCTTGCAGATGGAGTTTAATTTTGTAAGCTTAACTATGGGAACCACTTTTTTGCAATTTCAATCACAACTTAATTTACACACTCATCTAATCTTATATCTGGAATGTAGTTTTAGCGTGGAAAATCTTGTTAGTACATACAGACTTTCTCATGTCAAGCTCTTTTATTTTGCTACTAACTTCTGAGGAAACTACTTAACTCGACTTCCCTAGGTCCTTATCGTTACCACGTACACATCATCACACTCATCAAATTGTGTGCTCCGGTCGGTGGTTTGTACTGAAGTGAAGACAATATCGTGTCTTTAAGTGAAAAAAAGGCGTAAAAGGATTCCATAAATACGGATCTTAAGCCTACTAAATTAGAAAACCTCATGCGTTATACCTGTTGACCTGACAACCAGTGTGCAGATTAGGAAGCAATCGCCAGTAACACTTGGATTCAAGATATCAGTAGTACAGTAGCTGTCTTAACCTCATATACAAATGACCTAAAAATTACCCTAAGTTAAATTTTTTCATGTAAGCTAAACGAAAGTAGGGCCTTGCGAAATGGCTACGGCCCAAAACAAAGTACTTTACTAACTTCACCCGTTTATCATGACTGCATGCAACTCCTCATGGCCTACAGACACGCACTTTTTCCACGCGGCTAGGTCGCTTAAAAGCATAAAAATTAAAACTGCTCTTCATCGTGAAGTTGGATTTTTTGTCGCTCCAATGCCCATCTTCCTTTCCTCTAATCTCATTGGTCACGCCTGTTTTTCTATTGGCTCCTCTGACTAAGCCAATTTTAATTGGCTAAAATTCCTTTTAATGATTTTAAGGTATCCCAAGTGAAAGAATTTAAAACTCTTTTCTCTTAACTTCGAGTGATAATGAGGATAGACACAAAGAAAAGACTGGAAAATCATTTGCGTTACAATCAGTGGGGTAGTCACTTACACCCTTAGCAGATTCACGGTAACACTGAGACGTTTCAGCGCTAAAAAGGCGTACGATCGTAAAGAACTCGGTGTGATATCGTGATACTCCATAAAATCACATCTATAAACTCATTTAATTACAACGTGTATGGGAGAGATCCAGTTGCTTAGGCATGGTCCATGCCTCTGCGCCAAACTTAAGCATTTGCCTTTGCTGGAATTACTTGGGCAGTAGAAAAGCACAAACCTCAGACGTCACACATTTTCGTGAGATTTTTTTAAAACACACTTAGCCACAATAATTTCGAATGAACTTATAGTACGTCACAGTTTATGCGTATTTGTAATAAATTAATGATAAAGTGAACTACCATTCACCTCAATTCCTCAAGAAGTTGTCAGTCAAGCATGGTGAAGGTTACTTAAAATGGTTGCCTTCTTGGACTCAGTTTAATGTTTTGTGGGTGCGCAAAAGTCTTGTCACACCTTAACTTGGTGTAAATGCAATTAGAGAAATTATGGCTCAGCAATAGCGCCACTGTAGCCAGGAGTTGTACACATGTAAGGGTCAAGGTCAACTCCTAAAGTGTGAATAAATGCAAAGAAAGGCAAACTGATAAGTGGGTAGGACACTAATGGTCATCAATGGCCTAACCGAACACCTTTGAAACACAAAACCTCCACTAACAGCGCCATGAGGGCTGATTCAACACGACAATGTCGCAAAGCCCTGGTTAAATAGTAGCACAAAAAAATGAGACAAGAACAAAAGAAAGGCCTCTACAACTCGACCCAACGTCTACATTCTACAGCTATCAAGAAAAAAAAAAAAAACTTCGATTCGTCCTAGTTTAGAAATTCGTATGACAGAAATGAATGACCAAAGCCCTATTACATCCATGTTAACAACTAAACTATTTTAGGTATTACATGTCATGTGATGACTTCAAAATTGCACCAAGTTGACCAAACATTTCGTGTTGCCTGGTTACTGTACGTTGGCAACACAGTGGACAACAGTGAAGGCTTTGTAATGTGACTCCTTGTATTGCCCACCAATGCATGATGAGTGGAGAGAACAGAGTTGGGAGGATTTTTTTTTCTCGCTCTCGTTGCCTGATGCCTTCCATCTCCCATGTTCTGGTAAAAGTGAGTCAGCAGTAGCCATCCTTGGGATTTCCGGTATTTCTTTCCTTCCTCCTCTTATGGTGTAGTGGTGTGGACACTTGGTCGTCGAATCGTAAAATCCAACAGACACATCAAAAACACTTACTTCAGGAAGGAAGGAAGGAGGGGAGGAGGATGGCCTAGAACTCTCGACCTGTAAACAATTTCTCTCCCACTTGCCTGTATAAGAGACTAAACGCCAATCAATGGTGTAAGCAGTGTGTAGGAAGCTGTACAATCTTGGAATGCTTACAACCATTCAGGAGGAGTGGGAGCCCCATCCACAAGCCAAAAGACACACGAACAGAGTACCACCACTGACCACAACGAGACTGCCTTCCAAGCAGGCGTTAGCATATTTTGTACCGAGATTGAGGTGTCTTTGCCTAAGGCCTGGTTCCAAACGAAAGACGAATGTGTTTGAATTCAACATTCTTGACTTTATTCATTACATGCATCGATGTGGGAAAGAAAAGCTAAGCATAAGACAGAGGCAGAGGAAGAAAGGTAGAGGAGAGAGAAAGAGGTTCAAAGGCACTCGCGTGTGTGTGCATGTGGACTAGGTAATTACAGGGCTACATGACCTTAGGAAAAATAGAGTTCTCGCGGACTGAAGGTGTATAAGTGAGTAAAAGGAGGCTTAAATTTGTACAAAAAAACCAAAAAAAGAAAAAGGAAATAGGAGACAATGGCGCCTAAAGTAATCAGAAAGTTACAGTCACACTAATCACTTGCTCCCGTAAGTTTGTGGAACAGTCGCTCGTCGAGTTTTTGATTTTTCTCGGGATTGCGTTGACTCAAAAAAACATATCCACCAATAAATTCCACCACATTCTTACAGTTGGCTGACAAAGGCTTGAATGAGACCTTTCCATTGCGAAATTCGAGAATCACTCGACCATTATCCCAATTCACATTCCAACTGCGTAGATCCGCGAAATTCCACGCCAGTTGAGTCTCCTCGGTGGAGGCAGAAACTACTTCGATTCGAAACTGTCGGATGGCAATTACATCTTCCTGTGGACCTGGACTAGAGAATATTCCACTGCTAGGACTGCCGAGACCAAAAGGATTACCCTTGTCAAACTGGACAATAAAGTAGGAGCGACCAAAGTGATTTAGACGTTGCCATTCCTCAATGTAGCGCAGTTTGGCATCCTGTAACGAGAGATCTCGAAATCCTGCGTGAGTTTCACTAATCCTCTGTCGCAAAGCCTCTCGACTGCGAGCCTTTTTGATTATTCTCTCCGTGCAGAAGTCCGTCAAATCTCCAAGGTGGGTATTAAGTTCCTCAGGCGAGAGAACAGGAGTGGCATGCGGAGTGGATTGTTTTTCAAGCGCCTCACGAACCAACCGAAATTCATTGTCCAATGCGGCTCGACTTTCAAGGCTCTTTCCACGTCCTGCAAGCCGAAATGCGGCAACCCACTTGGCATACTGTTCCATGGAATTGAAACGCAGCCACACCTCCTCACGAGCACGACTTCGACGTCCACTAATTGGTGTTGAGGCGGAGGAAGAAGGAGGTGTGACGACAAGAGACAGTTTAACAGCAAAACGGGAATTTTCAGGACTTAGATCGGGGGTTATGAGACAGTCACGAAGTGTGTACGAGGCAGAAGGCGAATCAATGTTATGTGGATCACGGTAAAGCACCAGACTGACACCTTTTACAACACCCCACATCTCCTTGTATCTGCGGAGAAGGAGACCCTTATCACGAAAAACTTTAATCGAATCCTGGAGGATCGGAGCAGTCCCCGCGTCCACAGCATCATGACAAGTCGTGCTAGACTTTCGTGGCTGATGAGATACATTGCAGGATTGTTCCAACTCCGTCAGCATGAGGTCAATCTCATCCGTCTCATTCAACGCGTCATTATTGAGTGCCAGATGACTATTTGATCCGACAAATGGACTCAACGAACGTCCAGATGGTGAAGCAACAGTTCCAAGACTCGGCATACGTAAAAGAGACCCTCCAAAAGAACGCGGAGTTGAAAAGTCCGGACTCATTGGACGGAGACTTGGGTCAATTGGTGAAGCAAGGGTGTTATATCCTCCCAAGGTGTTGTATCTAGCCAGCGTCCCACCACCAGAGTACAAGGCTGCATTTGCTTGCAAGGCAGATTCATTTTGCAATTCTGCTTGAAGCTGGTAAGCCGCGAAAACAATCATCTCGTCCTCAGTGCACTCCAAATTTCCTGATAACAGTGACCACCGGGCTTGCTCATAGATTTGATGAATACGAACTGCATCGTAGGTTGTGTTAATGTCATAAAAGTTGTAGAACTTGAAACGAAGGTAGAGCGTAGGTGGTTTGGACTGAGACATGGGATAATCTCCTAGAGAAACCGTAGGAGGTTCAATGCCGTGTTCCATCAGAGATCGTGATGAATCCAACCACCCTCCGTCCATCCGAGCTTTCTGTTGGACATTTTTGGGCTTGAGTAACCACTCCTCACCGAAAGCTGCCTTTGCACTCTTCCGTTGACTACAGTCTAGGAACTTGCTAATATCGATGCGCTCCTCGTCCAAAGAATTGTCAGACTGACCGCGCATTAATGTGGCCGACCCATATGGCAGTGTGGGGTAGGGATTAGGCTCATTTAATGGATTCAGAGAGACCGCCTTGTTTACACCATTGGTAGCAGTTGCAGGCATTTCTGACCTAGCCGCGCCGATGGAATTTAGCGGCCCGGTTCTTTTAACACCATGTCGGATAACAGGAAGGGGTTGGTTGTACTTAATGCTGTCTCGAGTGACAGGGAACATTAATGAGAGCTCTTCAGGATGCCGAATGCAGAGCTCCTTGCAAATCCCTTCAACGACTGAAAATACACGACTAGCGAAGTTGACACGCAAGGTAAGAGTAGCTAAAGAAGGTAGCACGACCTGAAGATTACCATGCGTGTGACGGAAGACTAATTGGGCATCAGATTGAACGCCGTATTGATCCAAAGATGTGCGAGTATGGAGTAACCACATATTTCGTTGTGGCCACCAAATAGAATGATCTGACCAAGACTGCTTAACATTCACCGCCTCGACAATTTGATGCATCAGGCCTCCGACACTGGTGTCACCGCGAACCCGAACACAGACTATGTCGTTTATGTCCTCCACGTGAACACATAATTCCCAAGAGCCGTCCAGATAAGCACCGTCAACGACAAGACCGTTTACAGCACTGAGACCTTCGTAAGGTGATTGATCTTGAGAAGGGTGGCGGGTCACAAAGTTGGTCATCACCAGTCCTTACAGAACTTGAAAAGCCGCTGATGTGAATCACGCCAAGGGCGATCTCAGCAACACCAAATTCACGAACAAAACACGCGCACGCAAACACGCCAGACCAGCTCGCAGCTAAGCGACTGCGAAAATGAATGTTGGTGGCTCGTGCGTGTGTGCGAATGTGCGTTCATTGCTCTCACATGCGCACGTAATACAAGCACCGATTGGTGCATGCGACTAGTGCGACTATTATTGGCTGTCCAGCGGTTTCACCATGCCTACACCCACGCGCACACACACACGACGTCAGGGCACAGTCACCCCTCATATGCGTGTCTACGCATGTGACTAAGTGACGCGTCATGGGGCGCCGCCTTCACAGCTGCTGCTACAGCAGGAGCTATGTTACCACCGCCGTCGTCATGGTGACCGCTCGTAATGTCCGAGAGCGAGTTTGCAATTTGACGCAACTACAGTACCCATGATTTGGTTTAGATATTGCACGAATTTGTCGGTAGGAAGTAAACCAAAAATCTCCCAAACACTTTTCCTTGGTTGTGGAGGCATGAATTGAAGGTTTTCTTCCATTATTATTTAGCATTGTCAAGACAGCAAATCTTAAACAGTTTGTATGATAACAAGGTCCCCATATAGGGCTGTTGCACCTCAAATTAGGGCACCGTTGATAATTTCCTTTGTGTGAAAAGTGCACTTCGTACGTAAAGACGACACGACTTTATGGGTAGAAGGCAGATATGATGTGCCTATGAGAATCAATTATATCGTGTGAACGGTCGTGGAACCTGGTTGATATTCCTATTACAAATCACACATAATTACATCCTACTAATTTATTGCAAGTAGCATCACCATCCAACGACCTTTGCATCTCACGAGCCATGATCAGACGCATTGGCTAGGCTGGCGTTGACAATTGGATCCAAACGTAAAAATTATTTGGACAAATCGGAAACGAAGTTACCTTTCGATTTCCATACTGTTCTCACTTTAAATGCAAGCCCGTCTCCTGCCTGCTTGGGGTCAAATTTGAATCTCTCGAGCACGCAAACCGAAACCACACCTACTCTGTGACATGAGGTAAAATAACATGAAAGCCTGTGTTCCAATACGTACACAAGAATTTGATCTGCGTGAACCCATGCAAGTTAGCAATTCACCTCAGCAATAATATGCCGAAGATAGAAGTACTTGTTCCAGCTGCTTTAGAGAACGCGTAGAACTGTCTTAGCTTCATTGTCATCATTTGAATTTAAGTCCTTCTCTTGATCGCCCATCGATCCTTCCAATACCGGGTTAGGTTTACCAGTAGGGTACACGAAATCAAGGCGACTGATCTCATGGACTATAGTACCCCTTTCTGCAATAGAAAACTCGCCTCCAGGTCAGTCAGACAATATTATTGACTTTAAAATGTGCAAAGGAATACAAGACTCCCAGAAGCAAACAGTGATGATACTACAGTTCGGGTAGGTTTGGCATTCCCTTACCGTTTTCCACTTGAAGTAATCAGATTTGATAGTTTTAGAGAAATATGTATGGTACCATTATTGTGGATTTACAGTAGGCAAAACAAAAAATAAACGACCCGAATATCATTTGAAGTACATAGGATATGTATACCCCTTTTCATCAATTTATATATCAGGTAAATTGTGAGTAACCATTAAACCTTAAAATTGTATCCACAAAATCAGAACAATAGAAGTCATACGCGAATGTTAAGAACAATTGCCAACTTTGCGTGGGAACGATAACTGTGATTTACTCACCAACTAAACCCATGACCATATTCGAGTTTGTAAGCAAGAAAAAACAAACGTGCACTTGGTTAAATTTGTGGTTTGGCATCCGATGCATATGGTTTACTAGCCAAGGAAACATCTCAGACAAAAAAATAGTCAAGACATGTTCATGAGAAGGATTTGTTCGAGTAAGGAAAGTAAAAGGTGAAATCAGGACGTATATACACCATTTTGGGCATTTTTTATTGACGCCCGCAACCAGTAGATAAGAACAAAATACCCTATAGGAACGGCGGCCTTTAAGATTAACAGTAAAAAAATAAAACACTAACTTACACTACCAATGTCGCCCAGAACCAGATGGCAATAAGATGTGAGGAACATCATGCACATCAATCCAATACACGCAACGTTTTGTGAACGCAAAGTACCGGTTGCGAGCGCAGTCCCGCAAATGAGTTCCAACACACCAGATGTTTGCATATAAATCTGCGGGCTTGTTTTCAAACCAAGTAACCGTATAGGGGACACATCTGAGAAATTCTTAAATGCTTTCAGCTTAAAGGAATAAATAATGTAAACCTGCATACCAGTTCACGATGCAGCAACGAGTTGAATTTTATGGTTTTTACTGAGCCAGAGGCAATAAACAAACAGCCCAAAAATAGAGTTGAAACCTGAGCGCCGACGCTTGAAACCATAATACTATAAATTAGGTCGAAAAATACAAGCTGTAAGTCAATTGGTTGTAACTTCAATAGGTTGAATGATGTGATTCGGAAAAACAAGCGCGCGAACCATTGCCTATTATTAATTTTGTGTTCCATGGCTACCTCTCTGCAAAAAGCTGACCAGCTTCGATAAGTTTATTTTTTTGGGATAGCCGTTATCTAAGTCCTTCTTATTTTTAACGCATTGTTCCCCAGATAACAGGATATCAAACACAATCTTCAAAACTTGTTTTAATTACTCTTAACATGGGCATCTATGTCCATCTACTAGTTACGTCTAAGAGTTTAGCGTTGCAACATTATGTTAATGTGGCAACCCTTGTGTCTGGTAGTTGTTTAAATACATGTCTTGCTCTTGCTCCCGTGGGTTTGCCTTTGGACCAGGCAAGCCCACTTTCTTCTTGCCCTCTTAAAACGCAGTCTATAGCCTAAACTAATGATTGCTTCTGCATAATGATAAGTCTTGAGACACTACAATCACATATTAGTCACGAATTAGTGCTCTCCCTTCACAATACGGCGCCAATTCAGTCCAACCATTGTGCTTTTCAAATGCCCCTTTTGGATGGAAGGGGAAAGGGATAACCATAGTGCTTGAGGGAAGTGAGGACGTTCTCCCACCTCATAACCTGTTCACCTGTTCACTCTCGAATGCAGACTAAAGATTTTGCAGAAAGATTCTTCCGAATGACCCTTGAAGAAGGATCCAGAGAGTAAAAGTTAGACTATAATTGGATTCTGTATGCAATGTTTTCATCGAATTAGAGAAACTCTAGTCCTTTCCTTAATCCGCAAAAAAGCAATGCATTCGATCACTTAAAGAACACCAGCATGATCAAGAACTCACAGAAGCAAGCTGAAACATGAGTTACTGGGAACAACAAACATAAAATAATTTCAAATCCTCACTCCCCTTTTGAGTATCCCCCTCAAATCTATCATTTTTAACCCCACCGATGCTTGATTTGCATTATGCTCGGCGCATTGAGAACCACCAATATCAACGGTTCGACAAGCCGAACCCATTGCATCTGCACCTTGAAAGTGCAAACTCACCCCATCCACCTCTCACCACCTACAACCGAGTTTTACATTCTAAATACTATTGATAGAGAAGTCCCATTCAATGCCAAACCAGACTCACAGAGCTGCTTCTCCATTTTCACTTCCCCATCCCATTGTTTTCCCAGCTCAGCACCCCACAGCCAGTAATTTGGGTTCAAACTTTGTAATCTGTGTTTGTTTGAACGCACTGCACAAGTGAGAATCTCAGAGAACAGTGTTACTTCAGTAGTCGTCAGGAGTCCTCGAGACAATAGGTTGCATCACTAAAGGCATGATACCGATAAAGGGGGTCCCCAGAGTCGGTCTGTTTGTTTCCCATGGATTGACGGTCGACTGGTAGATGAAAATCAAATTTCTTGCAATGCCACTCACCAAATTACCGACACTGTAAATCGCCTTCCCGCAAACCGCGATGTCGTACTGATAACTCAAAAGTTGAGGCCTTAAAAGTACAGCTACGCACAGAAGACCAAAATCTTCTGTGCCGATGATGATTGGCAGTTAATCATTAAGACAGATAAATGACAACCCCTTTAGATGGGATTGCTTGCTGCTGCCACCGATCCAGCACCCCCAAAGACGCAGAGCAGGATAAAAGGCTGACGCCGAAATCAGCGCACTCAAACACTGCACCTCAAAGTTTGCGATCCTTCAAACCAACATGCAGCACTTCAGCATACAGCTCATAGACAAACAAAACTAAACTGAAAAATCTTTATTCTCCACAAAGGCACTACCAGAGACAGGTAAATGTGGATAATGGATAAAAACTCTCGTTCCTGAAGATGACATCATGAATGGATTCGACACAACTATACTGATAAAGTGGAAACACCTCCCAGTTCGTTGGAGTAACGTTCCAGTACAGGAGCAACCTCATTTGCAAGGAAGTGATCAACCTAGAAGTCAAGTATCGCTTAATTACAAAAAGGCGCATCTCAAGTAAACATGTTGAAAGGGTGACAAGCATGAATTAAGTGGGCCTCTTTTCCAGTGGTAAATTAAAATGAGGGATCAAGAGGTGAACAGACTCACCTGACTAGGAGCACGTCCAATGAAAGCGCGGGGTTCGAGGAGTTTGTTCAGATGATCGGCAATGGGCGCAAAGTAGGCATCACTACTAAGACGTGTAACCAGATCATTGGAGCAGCCCTCCAACTTCACCCTATCACCCGCAGCCTGACTGTGCATACGAATGCGCTCATGACATTCCTGTCGGTCTGCCCCGGCATGCATTACCATCCACATGAGAATACGCTCAGTTGCTAGGAAGGGCAACTCTGCCATCAGATTGCGCTCAACCACCTGCCACCAATGCACCAAAATGAACGGTTAATAAAGAAAAAAACAAGGAAATGCATAAGCGAGTTCAAAAACAGAGTAGTTAGTAAAGGAGTTAACGAAATATTAAGGGTTAAAGAGATGTCACCTTGGGGTAGACAACCAAGCCCTCTAAGACATTCTGGAGAATGAGGAGGCATGCATCCGCGGCCAGACAGGCCTCAGGGAGGAGGACACGTCGCAACGCAGAATCATCAAGGGAGCGTTCGAGCCATTGAACCCCCGCCGTTCCCAACGCTGCTGTGCTGTGTGACATTAACAACCGTGCCAAGGCGCAGGCCCGCTCGCAGCGAATAGGATTGCGCTTGTATGGCATCGCCGACGACCCAATCTTGTAGGTAAAGAGACAAAAGACAATTCCTGTCTACTTCATCACCAGGAATATCCTCCTTCTTGCAGAATACAGTACTTCTCAATAGTGTCCTTTTACTACTCAAAATGACTAGTGAAGGCGAATGGTGTGAACAAATATGCCCAATACAAGTCATGCTTCCAAAAGAGCTCGGTCACAGCAAGGCGCAACCTATCGTGAAGGTGTACACACGAGGTTTATGCACATGGACACCTCTCAGGGGAAATGAAGCAGAGTATTCAAGGCTAAATCAACCTCACTGAGCGTCGACGTAAACACTATTGTGGACCATCCTTCAAAATACCAGTACCTATCTCTGATGATGAAACAAGATGAAAGATTCTCGGACGAAGGGCATTTACTTAAACCACGACCCACCATGTTCCCCAGTCTTCTGTGTTTTTGTCTCCAGATAGTGTTGCATGGAATTTCGCCACAACTACCAAAGATAAAAAAGGCTTAAGGTGTTTCACTCATTGAAACGATCCCTACGGCAAGGCCACAAGTCTGCCTCCTTTCCACCTTACTTCACTTTGCATGTGATGATCCGATTGTCCAGGGTTAAGAAAGGGTAAAGAAATGGAGCTGAGACCTCCTTTGTCCAAGTGCGAATCGTCGCACCGTGCTGAGAGATAACTCCTATCTTCCTGCACACGCCTATCAAGGGGACGCTAATTTCCTTTTGCGCCAAGCCATGCTAAGTGGCATCGAATGGATGGACGTCAGCACCATGCCTTGGTTGGTTTAGAGCGAGCGAAAAAGTTTGAAACTTCAAAACTGTACTGGGGAGGAGAACACGGCCTCACTCCAGACATGCATATCGAAAGCACATTCTCATCGCCTTAAAGGGAGGACTTTGTGAATGACGGTTCCAGATTGCTTTGGACGCCCAGTCTGCAACAGCCACAATGGGTATGGAAAAACCATTAAACGAATTTCACGGAAAGTGACATGAAAACCGATTGAAGGGATACTGGGAAAACCGTGCCGGATCTCCTCAAACGCTAATTATGGCATGGGAAAATACTGCTTGATGACGAACCAAAGACCAAATGATGAGGGGCGGAGAGCTCGAAACACTAACAGAGTGACTCATGAAACCCGGAAGAAGCCATTCCTAGGCTCGAAACTGGCAGCAATGCTTGAGAGAAGGAAACACACCTGATTAGACTCGAAAGGTTCCTCAATCTCCTTGAAGCTGGCCAGTAGGCGAATGTCCGTGCATATTTTGTGTACAGTGGCTCCAAGGCTGGAAAGGATGCTCACCAAATCAACATCCAACTTCCGCGGATACGTCTGTCCCGTGACTGACCAAAGTCGCGAAAAACCCGCCCTCTTCGCTACTAATTCATCCAGTTGCACAACCTGCAAGAACCATAAATGATTAACCAGTAGGTTATCGCTTCGTTTTGTGGTCTAAACGGCGTCCAGATCACCGGTCTCCTGGTCCATCTAGACGTGCTGATAATGGAAACAACCTGCAGACCGAGAGTGAAAAAGGCGTTGGTTGCTCGAGTCACAAATATCCCTCGACTCAATCACCTTCATAACATAGCAGACTACAAAAACTGAGGCATCACAAAATTGTGAGCAAATATGACTGTCCAGTGCAAAGCAGCAAAGTAGACGTGGGATGAGTGGAGATGAAGAAATAACCGAATTTTTGACTAGCAACTGCGTCGACAGAGAGCGGCTTGACAACAAACTCCTAATAGCAGGATAAAATGACTTATTTATTACGGCAGATTACCCTCTGAGATTATGAATGTGACGAGTTGACATCCTGACCAAACGCCAAGTGAAGATGGCATCGCGTTAAGTTGTGATAGATGAGCGTTACAATAAACAACGTCCGATAATGCAAACAAATGTCAACTACCACTTGTATGTCCACAAATACAGCCAAATGGTGCTCCCTACGCCTCTAAGACAGCCCCACAAGTAAACGAACGCGAACGAATGGGTAGTGAATGGACGATCAAGTGAATGCATAAATACGTGCCCGCATGAAAGCCAACTCTATGCATTTAAATTTAACGAATCCACAGATCGAGGGTGCTAACAGCACTTAGGTAAATAAAGGTTACTTGCTATTCTGTGGTCCTCCTCGTCAACATGGAAGGAGTTTCGATACTACCGAGCAAAATGAATGCCAACTAGACCAAAGAATTCACAGGGAATGAAAGTACGCACAACGGTAGGTGACGGGAGGACTGTGGGACTTGTTTAAAGCTAAACAACGAGTTTACGACAAAAATTCAAATCACAGGGCACAGGGGGCAAGAGGTGCGCAGTTGCATCCCCACGCGATGCTAAACAAGTCAAAAAAATTGACACTACCAAAAAAACAAAAACAACAACAACAAACTCCTGCAATTCTCAATCTATTCAATGAGGAGGTGTAAAGTGGAGGCAAAGTTGGCCAAGTTAACCAAGAATGCCCCCATTTGAAACGGTTTAAACGTCGTTAAAAGTACTTTATTTAGTTGTTTTGTGGGACAACGAGAACTAGAAAAAAGATAAGGAATTCGAAAAGGCTTTAAAACGAATTCGAACCAAAAGTAAAAATCTCAAAGGCAACGCCTTCCTCAAAACTGAGGCGCAATCAGATCGCGATTATCACTTTGGCAAGACGTACTTAAAAGGTAGACAAACTAGTTCTAACCAATTTGCCTTCTCCTGAACTTTCGCTTCTACAGTTCATTTTTTGCATGTGTTTTCAAGGCTCTGGTCATCAGTTTAAAAGAAGTCAAAATGGAATAACAGAAATGATGCAGTCTCGTACCTTCTTCAATTTAAAAGTCAAATTCTGTCATTCACAAACTGTGAGTCTAGACCTCCTCCAAAAAAATGATGAATTTCTGCGGACACTCAGTGGTTGTTTTAAGTCGAGATGCCTCAATTCAACAGTAACATCTGCGACTCACAGTACCAATGCACAAGGTTTTGGTTATATTGTGATGTTCTAGAAGTGTTCGCCACCAGAACCTATACGTTTCGTTCTTTAAAATGCGGTTGCTATTTATCCATACAAAATGTATTAGCAGTGAAATAGGTCGACATGGAACACAATTCGGAAAAGCGATTACATCCGAGACTTAGAGCGGGACGTCACACGTCCGTAATGCTGAAAAAGAGCATATCAAGAGGCCTTATCCGAAGGAAGGTAACCCACCTTGGAGTCATCTCCTTCAAAGAGGTCTAGAAATGAGGCCTGTGTCCCACTAGCGCCCTTAGTGCCCCGAAATCGAATGAGATGATCTCTAGCGCGTTCAATGTTCTCCATGTCGAGCAACAGGTCCTGCATCCACATGCAAATGCGCCTGCCAATGGTGGTGGGCTGGGCAGGCTGGAGGTGGGTACGGCCAAGACAGGCAACATCACGGTATCTACGCGCCTGATCAGCAAACCGTGCAATGCAGCGGGCAACTCGGGTAGCCAGGAGAGTAAAAGCATGGCGTAGAATAATTAGGTCAGCATTGTCAGCCACGTAACAAGAGGTTGCACCTTTAAGGAGAGAGAAGAAAACGCATTACTTCATCGCCTTTCCCCAGCATTCGACTACTAAGTAGAAGCAGTAGCGGAAGACGGAAATGCATATCGTCAGAACTATCCAAAAGGGATAAAGTAAAGGCAGAGGAAACATTCCTAATGAGCAAAATTCCCGAGTGGAAAACGAGACGTTTGTGATCGCACATATGTTGCTTTCAGATCAGTAAAAGTTTCATGATTAAAAGTCCTTTTATCGACGATAAGGAAAATCTTTTACTGCTTTATAGGGAAACGCTGGAGTCAACTGGAAACAGAGGTGCAACCCGAACTCGCGTTTGTAGGTAGTAGTGGAGTGCTGAGACACCCTGCAGTAGTACGTGTGAATGATTTAAATGTAAACGTTTCAAAAACGCTCGTACATTTCGGCTGTTTGTCAGTGACGGTCCCGGCCGAGGTGGTTCCCAGCCCACAGCACAACAGTTATTCCCGTGAACGAACATTCAGCCAGCGCGTGGAACCCCTGCATCAGCCCGGACGCCTGATCAACCTGTCATGAAATTGCACAAGAGATTAATCTTTCCGTGGCAATGGCGAACATGATCACTCTCGAATACTTAAAACGCACGCTGGATGTGAACCAAAACAGTCATTTCGCTTTTGACGAACAGAGAAAGGTGCATGCTCCAACGAGTTATGGGAACGTTTGGAGTACTGATTAAACGGTCGGTTGAGGATGAAAAGATAAGGGGAAATCAAAGTGTAGTTCTTGAAACTAGGTATGTGCTCGTACAAATGCATGCACAATTTTCTCAGGTATTAATGCGAGAATGTGGAAAGGCGGCACAAGGATAAATAACTGTATGTTCCTTTTCTTGAAACTTGTTTTCTTTCTGGGGCCCCACCAAAATTAATCTCAGCCAATTCAAGTCTCCTCCAGAAGATCAAAGCAAAACGAATGAGCCATAGTGAAGTTCACACCTTGGTAGAGTAGCATACAAGGAAAGATTCATGGTTAGTAAGATTAACTCCATTGTGTCAATGCATTTATTCAGAGCGGGTGGTAGTTTCGAGGTTACAGTGACATGTACTCGCTGTGGAGTTATGGCGCATTTTTTTATAATTTTGGCGTATATCCTGAGTTCCCTAGACTTCGGGCCAGAACAGGTCATATGAGGTCACTTCCCAATCAGTAAGTGAGGTCAGTTCATCATCACGCCTAACCACATGCCAATACAAAGGAACGACAAAACAGGCTGGTTCTGACACTATTTAAATAAACTATTCATGCCAAATAGCACGCCTCCAATAACATAAATGCGCTTCCCGATGAGTAATACACGACTCCACAACCGAATAAGCCAGGTGCGAATTGGTGATCACTGCCATGAGGACGTAATAGATGTATACTAGACCCAGGTACGATTTCCGTGGAGATGGTGAAGCTTTCAACTGCCCAGAATGTGTCAGTGCTATGAATACTCACCCAAAAAATCAAACCTAACCTGCGAATACATACAGTTATTATGACAGAAAACCCGTTTAATGCATAAATAGGTATCCAAAGGTAACGAAGAATAGCTTACATAAAAATGAGCGAAAACTCCAGTAGAGGACTTACCAAGGTGAATTATGGGAGATGCCCTAGGACATGCCTTAGCAAAAACATAAACATGTGCCATTACATCATGCCGCCTCCGAGCCTCTTCTTCTGCAGCCTGTTCGAAATCCACTTGTTCCAGATTGTGACGCATTTCCTCAAGCTGTTCATCTAAAGAAATCAAAAATTAGAATAGCGTTCATCTAATACAATCACCAAGATCTGATATTATGCGTTTTATTACAGATGCAGGAATGGTACTCTAGGCAAAATTTGTAGAAACAGTATCAATACCAAAATAATGCAAGCCAGCTCAGGACTACATCGTAAAAATGATAACGAATTTCTAACCATTTAATCAATTTAACGATTCTCATATCACCGCGATGGGACAAAGAACGTACCGGTTATCTTTAAACCCAATTTCTGTTGAGATTCTGCAAGCCACAACCACAGTTGCCGCCACAATATCACCTTTCGCTTAGGACTGAAATTGTACTGCATTGCTTGGCTTGCATAGCGAGTATTGAGTGGACTCCTAAGGGAATTATATCTAAGCAAATACAACATACTCGTAGACATCAACCATCCCAACCATTCCAAGATGACGCTACCTTTTCAACTAGTCCTTCTCCGAAGACCTCTTTGATCAATTTAAACATAATAGTGCCAACTGCATAAATCAAAAGTGCCATGATCATACCACTTAAAATCACACCATCCTGTTAATTAAATCATTAAATAGCCAAATCGCCATGACTGCGTTACTTAACGTCGACGAATGTCAATTATTGATGTAAAGGCATAACATTAATAGATTTGGTTCTATTTGTTAATAGCGATCATAGCATATACGGGCCCCTGTCTAGACAGCGTGGTCTTCTTGCCTATATTTCTTAATAATTCACATTCGCACCTGCGGCTTCACCATAGAGTTAAACATTATAAATGTTCTTAGATTTATTTCTTGAAAGAAATCATCAACAATCGGTCAAGCACTGATCAAGCCTACGCAGCCCAATGGCATTTCAAAGTTTGGATTTTATAAACAGAAGCAAATCATTGGAATAATAGTGTGACAGTCAACAATCATAGCAAAATTAGATTCAAAGTTCGGCCGAAGGAAAATTTGCAACTAATTTTCAGACTGGCTCCCTTTGTCACTTAGGGGCTCGGAAGCTGTTGAATTGGACGAGAGGAGATCCACACTTTGAAGACAAAGGTCAATTGATCCATTGCTTGTTTGTCGAACTAAATTAGATATTGTTCCACCTGAGCTCTGACCCAAAGACCAATCCACTGACAGGGCATCAGGCGTCAGAGCGGCTGCCCAAGGGCGCGGAAGTTCAGAGTTGGCTCTATCGCGACAAAAATTAAACATTGACTCTGCTGATGCCTGTTCTGGTGACATTTTACTTCCACTTTTGGCTAAACAGTAAATAGATCATTATCAATTACCGGGACTTCCATGAGCAAATCGAAGCAGGGTTTTTCGATTTACTCACTCGATTCTCTTTTCTTTCTTGCACAACTTCCACTATGCCGCTGCTTTGAAGACCGCCTATTAGCAGAATTTTCAGAGGCTTCAACATCCGTTAGTTTAGCCAACCATCGTTGAAGCAAGACGCCAAGGTCCAATTCAGCTTGAACGTCTACAGATTCTATTGGCTCCCTACACTTTTCTGTATCAACCTCAATAAAGTCCGAAGCAGTTCGTGATTCGCATTCCCCTTTACTTCCCAATGCTTGAGGGACCTCCTCCTAAAGAGAAGGAAGGCATAATAAAACTCCCAATTTGGAATGTCTTTATTACTAGGTTCCAAAATTTGCATTAAGGCAATAAGAGGAATTGCTATAAGGCTTGAACGTGTCATACTCCATATAGATGTTTTAAAGTAGCAAGTGCCCTGTTTTAATCAAAACTAGTACTCTGTTCTTAAAATCCATCGTTGCTTAGTTAAGTCGCCTTACCGAAAGCCCTGATACCGGCAGCACCTTAAATTTCATGGCTATTGTAGGAAGGGGAACATCAGCCGCGTTGGATCCATTGCTCAACCAAATCTTTCGCGCGATCATTAGCATCTCATTGAGGCACACTTTTGGCTGGATGATGCTCAAACTGCCGCGTCTACAAGGCGTCTTTGGGGGTTCAGTAGGAGTCCTACATATCCGTGTTGATCTTGTGGCGGTAGTACGAGAAATGAAGCTGGACTCTGTAAACTTCTGGCACCCCGCCTCCATGACCGACAACTCCACCAGCGTGGTTATCGATCTTAGGCCTCGAATTGACCTTGAAAAGGACGTTGCGGAAAATACAATTTACCCAACCAGAAATGAGTTCGGATAAAATTAGTAAATTATGAACTGAGATAAAAACCACAGAAAAGTATGTTATTTAGACGTTTCCTTATTCCATAAAATTAATTATGTCACCCGTCTTTAAATGTCTACTATGGCGGTGGCATTTGCTTTTGCTTTAATCTCTCTGTGCCTAGCACTTTGGTGAGAGAAGATCTGCGTCTCAATGGATTGGCAGGTTATTACAGAAGACTGATGTCTACTGCGGAATGGGACAATCAAGAAGACTACGTCTGACTGAGTCAAGGTCACTGACTTATTTATTCGTTGGTACACTAAATACTCCTGTTAAAAGGAAATGTTATTTGGCGCTCCTGCTCTTGACCGAAAGGAGCTATCGAGGTGTCAGTGGGAAAGCTATGGCACTTAACTCATGTCACCAATACCGATGGTCATTCAATCAAGCGATAACGACCTCGATGATCTCGACAAGAAAGCCTTTAAGACAGCCTAAACCTTACCAATGTAACCAGACCCATGCTTATGTGCCAGTAAGTTTAGACGAAGGATTAGTAAAATGGATATGAAGGGATAGAGAAAGAGAAAGTAAAGAATGGATGAAAGCCCTTGCAAAAGTATGACTCAGGTGGGCTTTATTGCTGTGGTCTTAGCAATATGACGTGTGATGGACTACGAGAAGGGCGAAGCCCTCCACTTTGACGGCAGGCAGTGGCGTTCCTAGTGGCATTTCCTATAACCGATCAAATAACTGACTTTTCTGTTACATTCCACTACTGGTGATCCGGAGGAAGCCATCATCGATGCCTCCCTCTCCACCTTTCTGATCCCTCCGAAGACGGCTAGTCATTCAGTGTTTTAAGAAATTTTGGCTTTTCTTCCACTGTGAAGTAGGAAGACAGATGTTATCTATCCCCTCTCCCTAATTTTTTGGCTTTGTGATGATGTTTCGCTAAGTGATAACCATCACCTTTTCTTGACATCAAACAATCACATGATCACATGAAAAATGAACAGTTAAGAAGTGGAGGTGGGATGAGAGCTTAACTGCCATCAAGCTGTTTGTTTCCCACAAATACACGCTCTTAGGCAATGCAATGCTCCACTAAACAGGATAATGCATGGGATTACAGAAAGCAAATGCGCAGAGTTGCCTTTGAATGCTGTTTGGAGTTTTGGCCAGGGTATTCAAAATGGTTGACGTTCACACTCAGGAATCACAGGGATTTTGGTAGTTGCCTTGCTCACACTCAAAGCCATCGACAGTGTCCCTTGACCTTCCTCGAGGGCCTTAAAGAATTGGCACCAGGACTTTAGACCAATAGCGTCCAAACAAAGTAAACAAACATTTAAGCATGGAAGCACTGATCTTGTTCAAGTCGTGCTAAAACCTGCCTGCTGTTGCAATGTTTGTGGAATTGCATCCAAAGGTTTTTAGTGAAAGATGATTTAAGGTAATCAGAGACACTCCCTGGATGTATGGTAAATGCTCGTTGATCTCCTTGAACATTTAAAAGGACGTAGGCATGAAAAACCGCCTCGAAAGCATTCTTCGGACGCAAGTACCATCCATGACAGTCTTCTGCCTACTGTCGTGACTTGGGATACACAAAGTGGACTGATCTAAGCATCGTCTGTGTGATGGACAAACGCATTAGCATCAGGTGATTCAATTTGACCTGAACGTCTTGTTTGTACGCCTTGCAATGTTTACTTCTACCCCCACCTCTCCTCTCCGCCATGCTATTAGCAATTGGGATCAGCAATTCTAACGCATGGCGCATTAAATTGACAAGCACTGCAACAAACAACTTTAGTGTCACTTAGCTATTAAACCGCTGGCCTCCTCCTCCTCCTCCTCCAACTCCCTCCCCGCCGCGCGCCCCACCTTTTGCCTCAAACACTAACGATTGATCCGCTATTAGCACACAAATACACACATGCACACATGGAAGGGCTTGACTGTGGGGAGTTGTGAATGAGGTGATGGGGGAGGCGAGGTGGGAGGGCGATGAGGGAACCAGAAGTGAATCATCACAGAGGTAAATATGACGGTGTGTGTGTGCATGTTTGTGTCGCTGAAATGCAGCAGGGAGGGTCCGGTAAGGGGAAGAGAATGGAGAGGAAGTGGACGCCAGAACAGAAACAACAGTTGCTGGCATGGTTTCTAACACTTCCTACTACCACTGCCCCCTATGTCTGATTGCCGATCGGCGGGCAGCCGTTCATCGGTTATTTATCGGGACGAAAAAAAGACGTACCCTGACGCCTGTTCCTGCCCCCATATCTTTCTTGCTCCCCCTCCACCCCTCACCCCAACCCCCACTCCCTCCCCGTCCCTCGCTCCGTTCGCCTGTTTACTTTCTCCCAGTTCAGTGATAAGTGGTATTTCTAATACTGCGACTGTGCAAAATTATCTCGAGAATGGAGCCATTTTTGGGATTCCTAGAGTAATTTTTCAAGACGACTGGGCTACCATTGCCTTCAACCTTCACCCCGAGCAGCCACCTTCCCCAAGTGATGCAAGATAAAGCCAAATGGCTTTCTTTTTTGCCTGCTTGGGAAGCATCCATTAGACCCTCATCACCTAGATTGCTGAGACAAAATAAGCACCGCAACTCAGCTTTTTCAAATCCTCACCGCTTTATGGAGCATATAGGACTTCTATCCCATCATGGCAGACATTTGCTTCTCGAGTGTGACAAAAGTGACGTGTTAGAGTTCTTGCATAGACGTTCTGCTTTTCTTAATTCTCAATCACAGAATCTGTCCACCACTGTTATGTAAAATGTCTAAAATACCGATCTAATAGTGCATGTGAGGCGATAAAATCTGATCACTTCGACTTTTCGCTACAACCTCCATACTAATTGCTAACAATTACTTACCTGAGCGATGACAGAGGTCACTCAATAACACAAAGTACGACAACGTAGGGTTTGCTGAACCAAAAATATTCATGACTCTTGTATCAACGCATTTGATGCGCGTCAATTTTGAGAAAAGACTGCTTCAGTGCAGATAGTCCGCACCCTCAAGTGGATGCCTCCTCACCTCAAACTGTCCTTGTACCAGTTGCAGGAGTGGGAGGATTTGCTTCATTTTATTATTCTTATCACTACTTGCATTCAGTAACACTGAAAGAGTTCCCAACCATTAATGATTAAGTAGACCGGATCACGCGATGCTCATGAATTTACAACCGACTGGAAGAAAGCGGTTAGAGTCCTTAGCACTCAGTAAGGTAATAAAAAGCCTTACTTGCGACGTGGCTAATAATAAAAACCTCCCCGATCCCTACATTACGAAACCCATCCGACACCGGATTCAACCAAACAATCCCAGCAGGCCAACTGCACCATACGCACCACCAGCAAGAATCAGAGCAAAGCACCAATAAATACTCAGTCTTCCTTTTTTCCATTGGCCCACCTATTTGGCGCCTTTCTGATTGGCTTACTTATGACCCTGAATCGTACGAATGAGTCACCAAGTCGATTTTCTCCATACTGTTGGCGTTTCAGTTAAAGCAATGCCTTTGCACCTGGCAACTGATGGATTGATGTGTGTAAAAGATAGCATTTATTTTTTAATTGCATCCAAAGTTATATTGACTGGAGGGTGAGATGTTTTATGCCCGTTGACCTACACCACTCGGTGATAAATTAACAGTAAGCAATTCAGTGTTAAATAGATGACAATTTCAAAACAAAAAAAGTTCTTTGATAGCAGTGTTTTATTGAATTACACCGGTCTATTTCAAGTGGCGGTTCTCAAGTGCTATCAAGCGATAATGGAATTTTGGAAGTTGATGAAATATCGAGGAAAAAAACTAAAAGGGAACACTTAAGTGGAAAGTAAAGCAAATGAAGTCTTCTTTATGCTGTTAGAGGAATTAGGCCAGGGCTCAAATTCTCACCGAACCTTTACAAAACATTTTAAAAAACTACTTTATTACTCCCGAAGTCGGTCGAATATCTCGGGTACAGTGGAGGATGCTGCAGCTGCTCAGTAGAGTTTTGGACTATTACATCACTCCTTCACCCATGCCTTGGCATTTTTGAGAACAGAACAGGTCTTCTGCTCCGTATTGTTATAAAAGTGCACAGAGAATCGTGGCTGCATGAGTTGAGAGTCCGTATTTTATTCAATAGTCGTTACCATTACCTTGGAATAATAATTCTTAGTTATCGGCAGGTGTTTAACCAAAAAGTGTGTTTTCACACAGATGGTATGCATTAAATTAAGTGCCGTTTAATTCTTGGTTTTAGTAGTGACCTCTTAAAAGGACCCCGCAAGGCAGCCTGGTCTCTGAGGCATGTCTGCTTTCCCACTCCCTCCTGCATGTAATCAACTGAATTACGATGTCTCTTTCGGTTGTTGTTTTTATAAAAAAGTTCTTAGATGAATAGAATTTGTCCTCCTAAATGAATGAATAAAATATTTCATTTAATATCATTTTCTTCATTAACTACCGCAATGCTCCCTACCTTTAACGGGCAGAAGTACTTTAAACTTGTGTCTTTAATTCATGCAAGTTTTTATTTAAAAAAAAACATATAAAAAGACTGAAAGCACAGAAAATTTTTTGACGAAAGGGCATCTTCCGAACTCCTCACCTTTCTCTCCCCCTCCTCCTCCCCCTAAAGGATAAATATTTTTGCCCGCAAAATAAGTTACCTCATGAGGTCACGAAGATTTTATAGTTATTTAAACACGATTAGAAAAATTTTGTATGTCTAGGATGGTAGGGGTCGCAATAGAGAAGCTGTATGGCAGCCTTACCACCATTCTCATTGCGCAAAAGTCAATATTATTGATCGCAGATGGTGGTAATGAGTCAGTCATTTTTGAGGATACTTGTTTTAATTTGGTGTGCACTCACTAAAGCCGCGAGAAGATATAGTTATCGAGTAAGCTAGATG